AACATACAAATTTTTAAGTGGAGGAGCGCAGTGAGGAAAAGCATCCTTTTTGAGACCGATGTTTCCTAAGCTCGGAAAAATCAGGACTCGGGTCTATTTTTATTAAACTTTCACCAGATTTAGGGCCAAGTATCGTCTAAAGGTAACCAAAATTTTGAGTTAATTCGTGGGTCCGTTTGGAAGATGCGAATTTTGAAGTAAACGAGCGCAGTTCAGAAAAACGTCTATTTTGAGACCGATGTTTCCAAAGCTCGCAAAAATCAGCATTCGCGTTTATTTTTATTAAATTATCACCAGCTTTAGACACAAGTGTCTTCTAAAGATAGTGAAAGTTTTAAGTTAATTCTTGTGTTAGTTTGGAAGATGTGAGTTTTGAACGGAAAGAGCGTAGTTGATGAAAAACGTCCATTTTGAGACCGACGTTTCCTAAGCTTGCCAAAATCAGGATTCGGGTCTATTTTTATCAAACTGTTACCAGCCTTTAGAGCCAAATATGGTATAAAGGTGGTGAGAATTTTAAGTCAATTCTTGGATTAGTTTGGAAGATGCGAATTTTGAAAAGAAAGAACGCAGTTGAGGAAAAGCGTACATTTTGAAACCGACGTTTCCTAAGCTCTCAAAAATCAGGATTTGGGTTTATTTTCACCAAATTGTCACCAGCTTGAGAACCAAGTGTCTTCTAATGGTGGTGAGGATTTCAAGTTAATGCGTTTATTAGTTGGGAAGATGCGAATTTTGAACGGAAGGAGCGCAGTTGAGGAAACCATCCATTTTGAGACCGACGTTTCCTAAGCTGGCAAAAATCAGAATTCTGGGCGATTTTTGTCAAACTGTTACCAGCTTTTAGAGCCAAATATCGTCTAAAGGTGGTGAGAATTTTAAGTTAATTCTTGGATTAGTTTCGAAGATGCGAATTTTGAAAGGAAAGAACGCAATTGAGGAAAAACGTTCATTTAGTAACCGACGTTTCCCAAGCTCTCAAAAATCAGGATTCGGGTTTATTTTCAGCAAATTTTCACCAGCTTGAGAACCACGTGTCTTCTAATGGTGATGAAAATTTCAAGTTAATTCTTGTGCTAGTTGGAAAGATGCGAATTTTGAACGGAAGGAGCGCAGTTGAGGAAAACATCCATTTTAAGACCGACGTCTCCTAAGCTGGGAAAAATCAGGACTCCGGTCTGTTTCTATCAAACTTTCACCAGATTTAGAGCCAAGTGTCCTCTAAAGGTGGGAAAAATTGTAAGTGAATTCTTTGGTTATTTTGGATGATGCGAATTTTGAGCCGAAAGAGCGCAGCCGAGGAAAATCATCTATCTGAGACCGACGTTTCCCAAGCTCGCAAAAATCACTATTCGGGTCTATTTTTATTAAACTCTCACCAGCTTTAGAGTCAAGTGTCGTCTAAAAGTGGTGAAAATTTTAAGCTGCTTCTTGGCTCAACTTGGAAGAAACGAATTTTTACAGAAAAGAGCGCATTTGAGAAAAACATCCATTTTGCGACCGATTAAGCTGGCAAAATTGAGGATTCTCGAGAGTTTTTATGAAACCTTGACAAACTTGTCCTCGCATGATGGTGATGATTTCAAGCTATTTTTGGCTTAATTTGGAAAACACGAAAGACTCCGCTTTGAGGAAAATGATCCATTTTGAGACCGATGTTTCCTACGCTGGCAAAAATCACGATTCAACGGGATTTTTATGAAACTTTCACAAAATTTAGCGCGAGGTCTCTGCTAGAGATTAAGGACATTTCAAGTTGCGCCTCGACTTAGTTTTGAAGATGCGAATTTTTAAGTAAAGGAGTTAAAGGAAAGTTCATTGGAAATCAATCTTGTCGAAATATTTCAATCTGGAGCATTCTCAGTGATGACTTTGCAAGCGAATTTTTGTTGATACCTCCGACATACGACCAGACATTTTCCGTTTTTTAGTAAATTTTCAGTTTCCTCAGCATATTATTTGTCACTCCATGCTTGCATGATAATAACAGAAACAAAACTAAACATTATTTGCGACTTTGTCCATTTTTTCCTTTAGAAATGTAGTTTTTGGCCCCAATGCTGGCTTTGCACGTTTCTTCCCTGGTCTCTGCATATATTTATTGACATTAATTCACTCACTCTACTCGCATTCGACCATGATTAAGAACCAAAACTCTACTCAGCCTCAAGGGGTTTGTCGTCTAATTCCATCTAAAACACCTTGACTAAGCCAAAGTGGGAAAAATCATTTAACCACTTTCAAACAAAAGCTCGCGGGCCTCCGAAGTGGGACCCTCAAAGGAAAGTTGTGCTTGAAATATGAAAATCGCGTATCCAGAAATGCCAAACAGGAAAGTTTCCCCGAACCAAACAGCATTACGTTCTAATTAAAGTATTTCCCAGCTTCCTTCACTGAAATGTAATGCGCAAAGTTTATTTAGCAACTTTCCCAAAATGAATTTTTTTATCGCGTAGGTGGCTGATAACTTTATTTGATATTTTCGTTTCCCTTCACAGCTTCAAGACTTTTTAATTAAAAAGGCTTTTCTGCGTGGAGTTATTAAAGCCCGGCAAAGAACACGAATTTAATCATGCGTCAACTGTTTCATGTCGGGTTGGTTCGGATGGAGATTAACAAAGCGAAGGACTTAACACAGTTAAAACATTTATTTGGCTTCATGATGCACCCTTTTCAAACTGTTTATTAATTTGGCGATTTCCCTTCGGTCAATTTGCTCGGATGGACGGTCGAAAACCACCGTTTCTTTGTTGAAGTTCAGCGACTCTTTGGCTAAGGCATCGGCTATAAATGGGTTCCCGTAGAACGGTTCCGACTTCTTCAGACCGATGGGGATTGAAGATTCCTCGATGGCGGTTGCTAAAGCAGCGGGATGAGCCGCGACTGGCCTGCAGGAAAAATGCAGTAATTAGTCTAAGTGCCATTATTCCAGACTTCTAAAGGATTCGAAATCAGAGAGCGGTTTATTTCGGCGAGTTCTGAAGAAAGGAAAACTCCAAAAGTCGTTAGTTGCTGATAACAATTAAAACTGCTCGGAACTTTCCACTAGTCCTATACAAAGTCCGTCAATTTATAACTTTCCAGATCGGAACGGTGTTCGGGCAAGTTGGGCCGCGATTATTCCTTAAAAAGCTGCTCAACTGTGAGTTTTGCTGCTTCAGAAATGCCTCAAATCTCAACTGCTGATTGGATTGAAACATTTAAGAAAAAATTAGCCTGATTATTTGTTGTTGTTTTGTACAAACTTTTAGTCTTTACAGTGAAAAATCTACTTTTCAACCTAAAATGTTGGTTGCACTGAAAAATCTCTCTGTTCAAAAGCCTCCCAAAAATGTGTAAATGCTTCGATTAAACCCAAATATCGCAAAAAGCTGACCTGATGTTTGATGGATGTTGGCTTAAAATTTGGGATTTTTAGTTGATCAGTGTGAATGTAACAATTGTTTTGGAAAACTTATTCAGGGCCCAGAAACGTCTATTTCCTCGAAAGGCTCAGAAAAATCAGGAAATTTTGCGATTGGAATGAAAATTTCCACAAAGTTTGACTGATTATCACTTTATGCGCTGTGAAAGTTTCAAGTCGATCGATGCACGCGCTTCGAAAAAAGGATTGTTTCCCAAATGCCTGAGACAATGTTTTGGAAAGTTTTGCATTATTTGTGGTGATTTTTCAGCCGTCGCATGCTTTCAGGGCTCGCAAAAATCAGCAAAAGCTTCAAATGGAGCAAAAATTGCTCAAAAACTAGTCCGAAAATAACAAGTGTCTAGCATGAAAGGTGCCGATTTCAAAATTTTTTCCGGAAACATGCTCAGCACTCTGGACTGCGCATTTTCAGTTTAAGCTTGAAAGCTTCTAAAAATTCAGGAAATATTGGGATTAAAAATACTAAAAACTACTTCGACAGATGCTTTTTCAAAAATTGATTTGAAATTTGCTCCCAAAAAAATTTCAACTAATTAGACCTACGCTTTTGGTAGCGAAAACTTTTTCCGACAATCCTGCAGTTGATAGTTTGGTCTTCCTGAGTCTCAAGTTCTTTGCGCTTTAAAAAATAATTTTTATTTTTCATGGCCTAAAAGTTTTCCGAGTCACTGTTTGATAATTGTTTCACCCTGTTTCGAAATTTTGCAGTTCGACTTTTAGTTGTTTTTGAATAATTGAGTGCAGAAAAAATAGTTTTCCAAAGCTCTGCAGCATTTAAAATTGACTTCTCCCGTCCGAGGTTCTGGAACTGAGACAAAAATCAGCAGAGTTCTCGAATTGAATGAAACTTCACCCCAAGGAGACTTCCTGCCATAATTACTTCCTGCTTAAAAGTTGGCTTTCAGCAATGACTAAACAATCACCTTTTCTTGCCTCCAAATGCCTATGAAGTTTGCAGTATTGTTTAGTCTGGAAAAGCTGCAGGAAAGAGAAGCAGTGTACTCTTACTCACTCTAGTGATCCTAATCCGGCATAATACTGCTGAGGGACGCTGTCAATTGAAGGCGAAGAATAATGCTGGGCCGCAGAAAGTTGGTAAGGCGATATGAGGTTGTAAGTTGAGATGAGCGGAGCAGCTTTGACGATGGAAGCAACGCAAAAAGCGCACACGATGTTGAGGTTGAATTTCATCATGTGCTGAAACAGCAAAAATCAATATGTAAACATCCCAATTTAAGTAAAATAATGACAAAATCCGAAACCGTCTGGCGAATTTTCCTAATCATCCAAATGAAAGCTCGTGGAAACTCGACCCAAAAAGTAAATAAGTACGTCTTTATCAAAACGAATTTATGTACATCTGGGCGGAAACAATCTTGCTTCATTTGTCGATCGTGTTTTGAACAAAATGTTCGACCCTTTTGGGGGCTTTTTAAAGATTTACGTTTCGAGAAGCGATCGCAGGAAAAGGAACTGCGAATAATATGCCCTAATGATTTCGCGGCAGTTGGGCAATTTGTTTTTCGATGGATTTTCCTCAAGTTAGCAGCCCAATTTATTCATTTCGCTCCCATTAATTTTCATATAACTACTAACTCACTGGGTGGTTCGATTAGTATCAATTAATTTTCGAAGGCAATTTTCCACTTGGCACCCTGTTCGTATTAATTATCACGCCCGATGGCTAATTTTTGAGTAAAAGCGATTTTCCTTTTTTG